ACCGACGGCAAAGAGAAAGGAAAATAGCACGGTTTTCCGGAAATAGTAATGAAATAGCGTTGCGAGAAACCAGAAGCTCGCGAGTTGAAATTAAACTTTCTAATGAATGAACCGTAGTCTTGGGTGAGTAATGTAACGCGCCGCAGTCGCGCGTATATACGCGCGTATAATTGATGGCTGCGAGTTTAAAGACAACTTTGCACGATTAAGCAACGTGAACGCGATACGAGCTATTCGTGTTTGAAGAATGGGGAAATGTCCCGGCAGAATTTGTAGAGCTCTCGTTAAGCCGCGAGCTTTTGAATTCCAAGCGCAAGCTGAGGACAAAGTTTTCGAAGGTTTTTCACGACACCCGGAGATTTTCTCGAGTGTGTCGGTCATTAGGTGTTTTCAAGAAATGCATCCTCGAGGCGGCTTTCTTCAGCGACGTGCCAAACCGGCTCGCGGCGCATGAAAGAATCTTTCGCTTAGAGAAATTCCACAAAGCGTTTCACGCGCGTTTTATTACGGCACTTTTGTATTTCGACACTTCTGCAAGCGGCACGAGTTTTAGATGAGGAGTGACAGCTTGCACGGAAGTAATGATATCCCGGTGTTCATTTTGCCGCCTTGTGTTTTCGCACAAGGCAAGGATGCTTACGCTAATGAAATCTGTTCGTGAAAGATCCCCTCGTAAAGAATGCCGAGATAAAAAGCCCTGACGAAATTAAAAGCGCGCGACCTCTCGAACCTTGACGTGCGCAGCATGCGAAGCATGTAACGCCTTAAAATAATCTAATGAGTGTGCCATTATTATTTAAATTTAATTCAAAACGATTAAACGTTCTCCTAGTTCTCTTCGATCTTTGTTCTAAAATTTTTTTCTCACAGAATTAAAAATTCTATGTAACTATACAAGGATTATTTCAAGAGGATGCGTTTGTTTATTTTGTGAAAGAGATATGTAATAGCATCGGAACGAGAAACGTCGAGGCGGTAGCGTGTGTTGCGCAGTTCCACTGTAATTTGTCGTAATTGTAGCGCGTGAATTAGCGCGCTTACACGCCGGCGTGTACACGACGGCTTAAGCCGTATCATGGATACCAAGATAATGCGTAAGAAATGTTGGATCACGCAAATCAACTGTGTATAAGCACGTACGTAGATGCGCTTTTTACGTCGCATAAGTATCCGCGCCCGTGTGATGTGTAAACGTCGCATGCGGATTAATCATCAAATCTACCTGATGTTTGCGCCGTAAGTGATACGTTACATACGATTGCACGTTTCATCGCCTATGCATACAACCATGAATCACACGGACGCTGCGTTAAACTTTTTTCTCGACTCTTATAAAGTTTAATCCAGAATTATTAAATTCCTAAGTTAAGGATGATTACGTCAAGTTGATAAAATCCAGCGACTTTCGTAAAAATAAAAAGAAAAAAAGGTAAAAGGAAATTTCAGAGGAGCTTATGAAAAAAAAAAAAAAAAATACCTTTCCTCGTTACAGTCTCCGCGTATATCTTCGGCCGTGACGTGTATACAATTTAGCTCGTAGTACACCGCGTTATTATTCCGCCGCTCATTCCCGGCGCAGTGATAAAATTCTAATCGCGCGGTTATATACAGCCCGATTCTGTGTGCACTTCCTTCCCGCTCGTAGAGATCGCTCCGCAGATTCTCCCATTTATTTCGCCTCGGTCGGGGCACGGAGCTTCTCGTCTTATCGCAAAAATCAGTAATTAAGTTACGTTTCCCTCGGTACACCCTCTTGAACGAACGCGCCGCGATGGAACGATTTCGAAACGGCAGCGGCCAACCCTCTTTAGCTCGCGGCGCAGCAACCATTCTTCGCAGCGAGCGGCGGCGGAGCGGGGGGGGGGGGCATCTCTTATTAAATCTCGGCACGAAATTATTATTAAGCATCGTGCACTATCCGCAGGATCCGCCGTAAGATCCTGCGCCGGGCGCGCGCGTTTCAGGCTCACTCGCGATTATAAATGTTCTTAGACGATACGTGCTTCGCGCCGAGTTACGTCAAGTTTGCCACACGCGAGGGATTTATTAATTTCCGGATTACTCCGCTCCGCGGTTTCCGTCTTCTCGCCGTACAAACGCGATTTCAATTAATCAATATCGAGCAGCACAATTTCCTCCCAGCCGGGCTAAATGCAGCGACGTTAGATTATAAATTCAGGCGCGAGCGCGAGTGTTTTCGCCGGCGTGCTTTTACCCGCCGCCGCGCTTGCCGTTCAATTAGCCGCGCAGCGATGGCGATGCAAAAAGGGCCGTTTTAGTCTCGTTATCTTTGGTCCTGCATTTACAAAGAAAAAGAGCGGTCAAAGCGGAATTTATAGTACGAAGCGTTTTAACGACGTTTTTACGCCGCTCCGCTTTGGCAAGATAAATTGCGGAGCCGACGTTCGCGACTCGTGTCCGTTTTTATCGATATTCCGATATTCCATGAAATATTTTCTATTACCATCTCGAGAATCCTAATAACGAAAATATTATACAAACCAGCGACATTCGAATTATTGTTTGCGCGCAAAAATCTCGCGTTTGCAGTCACGTCGCGCCATAATCATTTTCCCCGAGCATATTCTCCGAGATACGAAGGGAAAAAAGCTATCGTCCATTCTTCCTTATTTTCGCTTCTTCGCGCGATACGTTTTTTTTTACGACGATGCGAATGGAGCGGAAGTTAGTGTAACACACCGCACAGTTCGAACTATCCGCAAACTCTATTCCAGCATGATCGTCCTCGTGGAATCCCCTGGCGTATCTCGAGATATTGATTTTGCGACACGATTTGCCGGGGATGCCCACAGCGCCGCACACACTCGGAAAATAAATCCGCGAACGGAATCCAGGAAGAGGAAGGAAATGTGAGAAATCGCATTTGGTAGGTTCTATAGAACTTATCTGCCATCTTGTCGATTATTGAAAATCGGCTAACTCATTCGTCATGTTGGCCTGCCGGGAGGTATGTAGGTAACCCGGGGAGGGGAGATAGCGTTAAGAGAAGAGCGGCGAGGGAGGAAAGGAATGACAAAGTGAAATAGACTAATCGGAGATTCGACGGCGAGAGTAAAAAGAAACCGCAAATCCCGAGCGATTGGTAACTCGCATGAATAATCAAGAGGCTCGCATTAAGTGGAGAACATTCGCGCCGTTCGCCATCGCTTCCTTATTGATTTTCGCTGATGTACTTCGCTATCAGCGCTCATATCGCCGTTTGATGCCGGCTAAGGCGATTATTTGCTCATCAGAGGATGTTTAAAATATATTCACAGCTTGAGACATCGAACAGTCTGGGGAAAAATCACTGGCAATTTATGTTAAATAAAGAATCTGTCGTCTGAAAAAAATCTGTTTGAAAATCGCGTGTTTGTTGAAAAAATATTTTCGTGGGAATTGAAAATATTTTCTTCGCCACAACGTTCCGCCTCCTGTGGATGTTATGTACGCCTTCCTTCGGCTCGCCGGGGAACAGCTTCCAGCGAGCGTTTGCTGACAGCGTGCAAAATTTTGTCAGGCAAAACCAGTTCGCCGTAAATCACGAAAGGCGTGAACGGCGCGACGGTTCTCGAACGACTGTTATAATTCACGCGATTGCGCGATATCGGAAAGTCTCCGTGAGTCGCTCCGGGTATCTAATGTCGTCTTAAATATACATACTGTGAGCGGCACCAATGAGACAGGCCTTCCGAGTCTAAGCTGTCAGAGAAATCGGATCGCGCCCCCCCACGTCAGGTGTATATAAATAAACAATGAAAAGGATACGCCAGCGGGTTAACAGATCTCCGATCTTAATGGAGGGAGCGCTTAACGATGATTTAGATAGAGTCATTTTACGGTGGCCTGATCTAACGATTACACGAAGCCCGGTTTCACATTTTCCGTTTCAAGGTTACACGCTTATTACACACCCGCCGACTATTCGCCATCGTCCGTTTAATATATTCATATGGAACCAATAATCAGTCTATATATACATAATTAAAGTGTACCATTAAATTTAATTAAACTATAATTAAATTCAGCGAGTGATTGAATTTACCGGCGCTCGCACGTGTCGATTAATCACCGTGTTCTGCAAAAAGGCTGTAAGAGCAGTAGTAGAAAAAAGAAATAACGCCGAACATTTCTCTCGGATTTAATGAAAAGGAGGCAATTTAAGGGTCGAGCTTTTTAAGGGACGAGCGCTTTGAGAGCGCTCTAAAGGAAATTCGCCGGTATTAAGGCCGACGTCCATATTGATGAAGGTCCTCGAACAATAACGGGACGATCGTTAAATCCGAACGAGCGTAATAAAGCGACCGTCTGATACGCGTAAACCCGAGTTATCGCGCGCGTTCACTCTCATATCTCTCTCGCCAAGTTGATCGGTATATTTCAACACACGCGCCGCGATTATCCTCGCACGATTATCGAAACGCATAAAACGCGAGTAACGTTTCCAGCCGCTAAATATTAACGCAAACCATGTGATTGCGTATCGTTCGCACTTCCATGTATTTAATGCGCCCTTAAGCCGTTCGGCGTCTTTTCGTCATTCGCTCCAACGAGCTTCACGCGATAGCCGAAACGACAGCTCTCACAGAAGCGGATCTTTTAAGCCGCCCGACTACTGCCTAGACGACTTGCACCCAAGTCCGTAAGATAATACAAATGATTGACGGTCCACTCCCAGCCCCAAAAGGGTAGCTAATGATTCTGTGGTCGGCGGACTGGAAGAGAGAGAAAGGGCGAACGAGAAAGTGTACTATCAGCAGAAAGAAAGTTTCACGATAAAAATATCAGTCGTGCGAAGTGAACTTCCTTGTCGGAGGGAAGACAAAAGACAAATTGCTCGAGTCTCTCGATGATATAGCAAGTTTTAAAAAAATAAGTTCAAAAAAACTGTATATGGTGGAATTTTTGTAGACAAGAGAAATAATTGCGCACAGCAAAATACAAGTTCGATTAAATCGAGTGGTTTTTTTATCAATCGTTATTTGCATTTTTTGTTGCAGGTAACAACGATACCGGACGAGGGCGAGGACAATTTTAAAATGCCCAGGGCTTCCGTGGTACACATGGCATCGACGGCGACGAGACCGCAGCACATGTCACAGGTACGTACACTCTCATTTGTTAATTGATTGGAGATTTCAAGTTTCGCGATTCAAAAAATTCAGCAAACGCGGAAAGCTTTTCGCATTGCATACGTAAAATATAATTTATGCGTTCGATAAAGAAAATTTAAAGCACTTCACGCGCCAAGCGTTGCACGCGAATGTGGAGAATTTATGCGTTAAAGATATGAAACAATATACGGAAGATGTGACTTTCGCATATCTAATTTTCGCGACTCGCAGCAGCCAAATTTATGACGACTGTGAGTATATTTTTATTCGGCGCGAGCGCGTAATATTTCTCCAGCAATTTTTGCTCTCCGCCGCGCGCGTGAAAAGTTCTTAAATAATTTGGCGGGCGGGGCGATGAATCTTTTCTCCTTGGCAAGAGGCCATATTGATATGCAAACATCTAAGATAGCACCGAGCGTAATTGAGCGGTCCGGTTTAAAATGGATATCGAGCATGGAGGCCATTCGGGGGAAGACCGTCGCCCGCACACTCGCATGCACACTCGATGCGCACTCAACGCAACACCGGTCGACCATCCTCATAATCGTATAAGCGGGACGACTTTTAAAGCTCGTTTCTCCTCTCCCTTTTCTCTCCGCGCCTTCATCCGTGGTCGACTAATAGTTTTAAGCTAATGGCTCCCCCGGCTAACTTCGACCAGGCTGATGCATATCCCCGGCTCGCGCGCGCTTACGGAACTGCCCGAGTATTCACACGGCTTGATGCAAACGAGCTTTTAACGTCGTGTCCGCGTGCGCGCGCTAGAGAAGGAAGAGGGAAAAAGCGCGTATACGCGAGGAAAAACGTCGGAAAAAATAGCGCCACATGTGATTCGGAGGCTGGGATGAATTTCTCACGTTCAAAAGACGCCGCGTCGCGCGCGACGATTGTCTATTTCTTTCAGCTCGTTAAAATCCCTCGTCTCGCGCCATTAATGGGAATCTCAGTCGGCGGACGGTATCGCGATATACGCAACCGACGTGCGCAGATAAATGCCGCTCGTATACTCGTAACGTATCTCATAAGCCGTAATTAATATTCCAAATTCTGCGCCACCGTTCTAACAACCGGGAAACGTTATCGGCGCTCATTACCGTGCCCACGTTTTCCTGAATGCGCTATTCATCGCGCGGCCCCCGATAATTAGTCGAAGAAAGCGACTCTGACGAGCGGCGCTCGTAAACTTATGTCCATTACCGCTGTTGCCGCTCGCGCTCGCCGCATTATACAAATAATTTAAACTGACAGCATCCGACGCATTCTCCGTGAGTTCGCTCGCGTCTCCGAGAACTTGGATCGATGACGCTGTTCAAAGTTGTTAAAGAAATTAATGTTGGACTTGATAATACAATCCTGAAATTAGTGTAAAATCGCAACTATTGTGACGGATAATTTCACACCGTCTTTTTACAATTCACGTTATCAATTGATAAGGTGTGTACAGAGTTACGTTTCAAGCTGCGTTATAATTTCGCACGCGGACAACGGGCGTGGAAAGACAAAGCGAAAAAAGAAAGACGAAGGTCTAATTGCAAAGCGGCGCTCGAGACGACCCACGCATTATTGTCCGACAGAGACGACGGATATCGTGCCTCGATATCATGAAGCGATAGAAAGGTTACACAGCGCGACACGTCTAATCGCGTAATACTGTTTACGCTCGCTCCTAATGGCGGACGAGATAATTGAAAATGCATGTAAATTTATGTGGGATCGGCGGCGCCGCTTGAAATTCCTTATCGAACGCACGCTCGTCGTCCCGCTCGTCACGAATATGAGTTACGATGGGTCATCGCATTAAAATCGTACTACCAGCACTCTCGCGTCGTGCGTACACGCTGAAATTATACGTTTCTATCGACGAAAGGTCAGAGTTTAATTCGAAATATCGTCGAATTTTTGTAACAGATTTTATATTAATGAAGAGGACTTTATAGACAGTATGCATGTGTACGTTTTGTGGGGCGAGATAAGTGGCACTCGATCGTTTAATATTTACAAGTAGATGAACCAATTAATTATATATTGATGAACAAATTACGGTAAAAATTCTTCGGTAGAAAATCTTTAGTGGGAATTTTCGCGTGGGATTAAAAAGTTGAGAGTACAAAAGTCGCACAATATCTTCTGGTTCACATTTGCAATGCATTCTCGAAGCATAAGGACGGGAATTGCGCAATATTTTAGTCACACCCTATATCTGTACGCGTGACGTACTGCAATTACCTCATAATAAGTTTTTTTCACTCGTCTGACCCACATGTTACAAAACTAACTAACGAATGGGAATCGGAATATCAACGAGACAAGTCGGTGCATTCAGAGGTTTGTTCACCGCGAAAAATAAAAGTACCCTTGCGCATATTTTCTTACGTCATTGCCACAAGATCGCGAATGCTGAGCGTGCGTGCGGAGAAGTGCTGAAAAGGGACTCGCAGTGATAAGGATAAAAACAAGAGTTTAACGAGTCAGCGAAAAAGCAGTCGCGAATTTCGTAGAACAATATTGTTCTCGTGAGATATTTTCGCCGCTAGAAGAGAGAAACGCTAATTTCGAATGCAGCTGAAATTTTCATAAATCTCTCCGAGGTTCGCGTGAATTTATCCCTCGCGAAATTATATCGTTGTTTATTCGGGAAAACGGGAACGGCGCTCGCGGTTGCACACGCGGAATGCACGCGAGAGGAACTTATGCGCACATATTGTTACGCGAAGGATACATATAATGTCGATGTACGTGTGCTGTCGCGGTGCTTTGAAATAGCCGGTGTACATGTGTACGTGTGTACGTACATGAGCACGGGCCACGCGGATGTTTAGTATTCCCCGCGAGGGGCCAAGCCCGGCTTTCAATTTGCGGCTGGCAATTTGTTCGCCGGTTGCACCCCGTGGCGGTACGAATTCGCGATGCGCGCGCTCCAGATATGCATTGCTAGAGTATCGCGGCGCAAGGCGGATAAATATATACCTAAGCGTATCGTTTTTCCAGATAATTCAGCATCATGACATGTTAATAAATAGATGGATTCGATAAAAAGAAAACAAAATATGCTACGCAAGCGGCAGTCACCTACTTCGATAAATCTGACACTGTGACCTTTCGCCGATATGATTCCTCTGTTGATGTTCCTCGGATAGTGAACGACATACGTGACACTCGTTGAAAGAGCGAATAGCGTCAAGTACGTGCGAAAAATACGTGTATCGGAAAGTAAATTATCGTGACGCGGAAACGATGGGTTCTAATTTCGAATGCTACGAAACGCAATAATAGTGCAAATCGATAAATACTCCGAGACGATCGTCCGTCGTTCAATTCGGCGATCCTGACATTGTTCGCAGGCGAAATTCACTATCGAATAAAAACCGATAGAAGAAAATGCGAAAAGCGTCTTTCATCTTAAGAAAAAATTTATAGTGTAAATGTAATTTGCTATGTAAATTTTGTAAATAAATTCTGTAAGACAGATAAATAATCGTAAATAATTTTTATGTATTTAAATTCAATGGAACGTAATATCAGTCATCGAGTTATCAGTTGCGATCGCGAATTAATATACGTCATACAAATAGAAATATCTTGCAAAGAAAGAGCGATTTTAGATTATTATTACGACTCTCTTTCATGTCGCTTCGAACTCTACGATCTTTATAAAGCGGTACGCGTACGCGAAAAGAGCGAAGTAAAAGGTGTATTCATACACGCGTAAATTCACTCACTCGCCGACGTAAATGAACGAAGTTGACGTCCAGCAGTGCGTTGCACCGCGTTTCTGCATGAATTCTTTAATGTCGGCGTAAAAAGGCGCAATTCACGCGCGAGTTCACCAAAGCCTGTTTATCTGGCGTAGGTTCTGGCGACCCTGGCACTATCAATGGGAACTCTTTCCTCCGGCTTGGCCAAGGGTTACACCTCGCCAGCATTGGATTCCATATTGGATAACCAGCCGCCCCATCTCTATCAATCGTCCAACAACGACACATGGTAAGAATTTGTGAATACACGAAATAAATTATACAAGAAAAAAATTGGCTAAAAACACACTCGACTGACATATGTCATTGCAATCGGCCAGAATTGATCGCGTGAAGTAATATCGGATTTCACGATTTGAAACATCGGCAAACGCGGACAGTTAAATCCGGAGCTTTCCGCTCAGCTTACTCGGGCGTTACGCTCCTGGTAGCTAATTCCGGGATGCCACGTACTGTGACAACTCTGCGAACTCTACTCGGAAGCTGTTCACAAATAATACACGACAGCCAAGACGACGCGGCCAAGAGCGATTACGTGCGCACCTGACGTGTCTGCCCGACACTCGAGAACAATGCCCAATATATCGACGGTGTTTCCCGGACGCGTCTGGATCACGTCGCGGGACGCCGCGGTGATAATAATTCTGCCGACGGCGGCGATCGTAATCGGTGTTTCGATTTGTCGCAGGTCGGCATTCTCGGTCACGCAACAGGAAGCCTCATGGGTCGCGTCGCTGTCTATGCTGGGCGCGTGGTTCGGTGCCATGATCGGCGACTGGATAATGCGCAGGGGTCGACGATTGGCTCTACGCGTGACATCCTTGCCCCTGGCGGCGGCCTGGATCCTAACCGGCGTTGCACCGTGCGTGGAGCTGGTGTACGTCACTAGTTTCATCGGCGGGCTCTGTTGCTCGGTCATCACCATGGTAGCTCAGGTAAAAAAAAATGAAAAAAAAAAAATCAAACCAATTCTTAAATTCTTCGGTGGACGTGTCGCACGAGCCAAGTTTCTTTCTCTTTTTGACAGGTGTACATATCGGAAATCTCGATGCCGGGTATCCGGGGCTGCCTGTCGGCGATGCTGAAGGTGCTGGGTCACGTCGGTGTCTTGCTGTCGTACATAGCCGGCACGTACCTGAATTGGCGGCAAAGCGCGCTGCTAGTGGCTGTCGCGCCGTCGATGCTCTTTTTGGGGACCCTCTTTATACCCGAGACACCGTCGTATCTCGTGCTGAACGGCAAAGACGACGAGGCTGCCAGCAGTTTGCAGTGGCTGCGTGGCGAACACGTTGATATACGGCACGAGCTGCAGGTGATTTCAAAGCTCACGGAGAACGATGCGGATAACCGTTGAAATGGAATAAAAAAAATTTCCTTCGTGCATCCTTCGTTATCGAATTTTCGATAAATATCGATCGTGTTTGATCATTCTATCGATTCGTAATTAACGGCATGCTTCCAGGTTATTAAAACAAATATTCTGGCGTCGAGGGCTAAGCAGTACGAGCTGAGCTTCAAGAACAGCGTATTTACTCCAAGATTGTACAAGCCCATCGCTATCACGTGCGGTCTGATGTTCTTCCAGCGATTCTCCGGCGCGAACGCGTTTAATTACTACGCGGTGCTCATCTTTCGTCAGACTTTGGGCGGGATGAATCCTCACGGAGCGACCATAGCGATCGGATTTGTGCAGCTGCTGGCTGCTTTATTATCAGGTATTTCATCGCTCAATGATAATCGGTAGAATATAATCCCGTAAATTAGTGCAAAAAAACTATTTTGTAAAATAATTTTGCCACTTTGCACTACCTTTCGCAAATCGTATTAATATTTGTTCTATCCAAAACGCGAAATTGCAGGATTTTTGATCGACATCGTCGGTAGACTGCCGCTCCTAATAGCCAGCACCGTTTTCATGTCTCTCGCGCTCGCCGGTTTCGGCAGCTACGCGTATTACGTGTCGCAAACGCAAAATTTGGGCTACGTGGACTCGGCGGTGGTGGGCCAACACGACTGGATACCGCTACTCTGCGTACTCGTGTTCACGACTGCTCTCGCTTTGGGCATATCGCCAATTTCTTGGCTATTGATTGGCGAACTATTTCCCTTGGAGTACCGTGGCCTCGGCTCCAGCATTAGCACGAGCTTCAGCTACTTTTGCGCGTTTTTTGGTATCAAGCTCTTCATGGACTTTCAGCAGGTGAGCAACTATTTCGTGTGTCTTCTTTGGATTACGTCCAAGTATAGTCCGGATTATTAGAGTTTAAAGACCAAGGTTGAAAAGCCAAGTTTACGTTTAAGATTGTGAGAAACAAAATTTAAATGAAAAAATTCGTAAAAGTAAAATATACAAACAATGCATTCTGATTATGCAACGATATTATTTTTTAGCGATTTGTTCATATAGATTGCGGTTCAAATTAACCTCCCTTTCTCTCCCTCCCTCGAAATTCATTATATTCAGATCTTTATCATTATACAATATAATAATAAATTTCTGTAATCCTATAACCAATTGTAATTATATCGTTGAGTTGTAAGGGCATCTTAAAAAATAAAGGTTTATTTTAGAGTCTCGGTTTACACGGAGCCTTCTGGTTTTACGCCGCCGTTGCGGTCTGCGGACTGTGCTTCGTGGTGTGCTGCGTGCCCGAGACGAAGGGCAAGCAACTGGACGAGATGAATCCGGATTACGCGCAAGCTCGGTAGTATAAGGCCTCGCTGACGGGCGGCCTCTCGAATCTCGAAAAGGCGAACAAGCCTTTACCGGGCGGTGCTTATCCGAATGAGCACGATCCGCGAGATCTCTATCGCAGCAATGCGCCGATCGCGACCTCCAGCATCGCGACGCCGTCGCCCGCGCGCACAGCTCATCGCAAACTATCGGATTACTGCGGCATCTTCGCCGAGAAGACAAACAGGATCGGCAAAAATGTGGAGAGCTTCATGCAGTCACGTGGTCTGTTGCCGATTCGTCGTACGGTCGATGAAACGACGCAGCCGCGTCGCGATCCTATCGGATTCAACGGCGATGTGATGGCGAATGATTTACCGCGAGTCGATCGACAAACGCAAGAGGGCCACCGCCGTCGCGACTGCGATTACGAGAATCACAGTTACGAGCAGCCGTGCGGAAGCAGCGCGCCGAAGAAGCGCGTGGCGTACTTCAACAATAGCACTTATCCCCGAGAGACGCGACCTAACGTGAATTACGTTCATCGCTCGAATGAAACGGAGCCGCGTCGCTCCAGAAGACGCGAATACGCGGAGGCGTATTACGGCGCGGCGGACTTTTGGGTACGAGACAGTCTGGCGAGCGGTCCGAGCGTCTCCAAGCCGATTCTAAGAAACGGCATAAATCACGACGGCGACGAGAGGTTGTACTATTCAACTCTGCCGCGGCGCGGCCGGACCATCAATTTTCAAGATCCAGCGCGCGGCTCTTCGGAAGGACGACGCCCGTATCCGAAGAGCCTGCTGGATTTAACGGATTTGGAACTCGACGATGTCGCGTGTCTCGCGTCTCCGCGCGGCCGGAATGGCTACCAAGAGGAAACATTCGACGATTATCTGCGATCACGCGGTAGGAATCGTCGAGAGGCGGACGAGCCGCTCTTCGAAGACGACTATCTGAAACTCTGCAGAAACCTATCGAGTTTGGACAGATATCCGCGAGGCGATGGTAGATACGAGCCGGGCCAGGTGCACTACGAGAGGGAATGCAGAACTTTCGGCAAGGACACGGTCGCCTTCATCTATTACAAAACGTGCTATTTGTGATTTAACGAGAGAGCGCAACACGAACGAGAGTTCTCTCTCATCGATAGACCGTCCATCGATCCGCACGGTTCACGATCTCACGCAGAAATTTCCACGGCCAACTGGCTGTCCCGAATCCTTCTCCTCGAATGCATTTAACGAGCGGAAGAATTTTCTATTCGATCGGGCTAGATTTTTGCGAATTAAGCCGATAGTTAGTGAATTTATCAGTAGTGGATAGATTGTACTACAAAAATTCCCCTTCCTCGTCGGATTCATATCTTCCTGATGACAACATATCTTTAGATCTCAAAAAATACTTGTGTAGAACAAATCTACAAAGAAAATGATCGAATAACCGAGTCACAAATTGCCTTCGTGTCTGGCTTTAATGATTATTAAATCGTTTCTCGACTGATAATCAAGTTCATCATCGAGCTTTATATCGTTACTTCTACGTAACTCCTACTAAAAAAAAAAAAAACGTAAGATATCTCTTTAGAAATCATCCAATAGAATTGAGCGCAATTTAGATTCATAATTTGCGGCAGAATTCGAAATAAAAATTTATTATATTTATCATTTTATGTGATAGAAAACATTTGAAGAGAATCAGAAACATACATAACATATCACTGATATATACTTTCTATATGTGCGTGTCCTGATTTTTCAAATGTTACCTGTGTATTACATGACACATAAATTATAAAATTTATCCCAAATTTTGTCAGAAATTACAGATTGCCTAAAATCGAGATAAATTTTTTATTTTATATATCATAAACCAATATGCCCATATAAAAATTTGAACAATTCAGTATTACATCTATTTTTGAAAATGATAAATAATAATTGTAAAAAGCAGTACCAAAAATAATATTTCAGAACATCATAATATGAAATGATATGCAATAATATTTTTAACATCATAAATATTTATATACGCGTTAGATTAGATCATTATAAAGGCGTGAAATGCAAATTTTATGCCTTTCGTTTTGTTTCTTCGATTTTTTCTCGGAGATATCATGGTTTTTTTCCTTCATCAGTGAGTTATATTACTTGCTAATAAATTTCTAAGATAATACTCGAAGCTCATTCACGTCAAGGGACGACACTCATATATCGTGCTTTCTACGAAAGCGCAACAATATTTTACGCGAAAAAGAATGTGCATATTGTATATATTACGAGTAAACAATATTAACAGGATTCTTAGAACAGACTCAATAAAGAGGTGCTACTGCAAAAATTTTGTAACAACATTTGCTGATAATTATAAATTCACTGCACATACAAATTTTCTAAATTAAGGACATGGCAATGATTCTAAAATTCATTCAAATATTTCCAAAATTTCCAAAATTTTTATGTGCATCGATTTAATAATTAACTACGTTATTGCAAAGTTCTTGCAATAACATACTAACAAGTGTGTGTGAAACAGTCGCATTATTTTTTATAAAATAAAATTATTTCAAATTTAAGTATTTAGAATTCTGACTTTATTTTTAATTTTTTATATAACTTCTGACAAATAAAATAAATATATAAGTAAAATAAATAATTCTAAGATGATAAAATTAAAAGAAAATAATTTAGAAAATTCCTTCATTATTTCTTATCATTATTACTTTATCAACTTCACACACACACAGTTAATAGGGATTGCTTAGACTGCCAAGCTGTTCTTTCTGTAAAATAGCTGATATATAATAATTTCTGCTACTATTTTTCAGCCGTTAATGGTGCTCGCAAACATATTTCTTTTGACAATATTGCGATAAGCCTCGAAAGAAGAAGCAAAAGAAATTATTAATGCTAGAAGCATATTCTCATGGCCGATATTGGCGTTATCAATAAGGATGTGACAGTGTGTGACGAAGCACACACTCTTTTCGGATAAAGACAGAATATATGTTTCACGTAAAATCAGAGTAGCGGAATATATTCCGGGGCGTCGTTGTAGTATAGACGCCAATGACTTAACTATGACAATATCGATTTGTAGACACATCTACATATACACTATGTTTCGTATAAGATGCGTATTATGTATATTGGCTATTGTATATTATATACATATGACTCTATCGTATTCATATATGGAATTATATAATTAGCGTCAATGCGCGGATAATGACAAACCTCGACAATATAACAAATTGCGAATTTCGCGAAACTGGTAGAGCGAAATTCGATAGTATTAACTTATTAAGAGATCATATATATAAATTATATATAAATATTTATATATATGTGTGATCTCTTATGTACTATATATACGTTGAAAGCAGTTATACTAAATATCCACAGGTGCGAGGGCGAGTCTCTCATTTCTAACTAATATTTCTTAAAATCTTCTGCTTTCAACAATTTCCTGCATTTCTCAACAACATTCGCCATTCGTATATTTGAATGGCGGAATTAGACGAGTCTCCGTAAACGACGTATGTATTTTATGTTTTTATATAGTTTGTAGAACCACGACGTGTGTCGAGAAAGAATTTTACGTGCCGATGACGGGTGTTTATTAGAAGTTAACTACACTTTGCAGATTATATTGCAGCTTGCATCTGTGATGAAAGCGATATACATATATATATATATATATATATATATATATATATATATATATATATACATAGATCTCGCGAAGAAAAATTTCACTAAAATATCTTCGGTATTGAAAAGCGACGTGGAAAAATTCCGAACGCATATAATGAATCAAATTTGAAATACGATATGAAGAGGAAATTTTTCTTTGTGCCGGCTGCAAACGGAACTTCTCTTATCTGTAATTATCAATTGTACCCGTGAGTCATATCCCTGCCATATCCGATACCGTAACGAGGTGTATGAAAGTCTCAAAGACACATTAATGATCCTTGTACTTAAATATTTTCGCATGTTTTTGTAGACAGTGATCGTTCGATGCGGGAAAAAATTGCGTTTACGCGAACTATCAATTCGTATAAAATACATTCCATTTTTTACACGTATGAAGTGTATATGAGAAAAATAATATCAGCGACGAAATCCTAAATTCAAAGGGTAACATATCACGTAAAGAATATTTCAGTACTATTGTTATCAGAATTACTGTCTACAAAAAAACAAAGTGTGTACGCGGCATTTTCCTAAACGAAAATATCTAATTATTGTATAGAGAGTGTCCTGAAAAAATATATATCAGCACTAGTAAAATCCTAATTAGCGATTGATTGCAAAAAATTCTTGACGTCATTAATTTTTTATTTTTTTAAAATCTTGATAACCAAATCCATATTTTTTATTAAAAAATAAAATTACGTTACATGATTACTTGTGCCTTGGAAACTTAATCTTCTAAATTATTAACGTTTAATTAACATTTATAAATATTTAAGCTTATCAAAAAACAATATTCTAGTGATGTATATATTTTCAAAACACTGCATATTTTATGATGCTCAAGGGCTTGGATACAGTATTGGGTAACGTCTGTAATTAGTTTTAACGCGGTGCAATGCTCGTGAAACGAGTGCACGTAGGATAAATGATCAACTTCCAGATTTTACGTAGATTATGAAGATTCTCGATCTCACGATGAGATTATCTCATATAAGTTTTAGTATATCGCGCCGAATAAGCGAGCTTTACTATTGCCGAAGGGACATAATATATTCGCAGCGACCATATTGCGTCAGATCTTCCACGTAAATGAGAAAAAAGAAAAGAATAATAATTCCTCTCTCCTTTTTCCCCGTAGGGGATTATGTTAAACTACGTAAAAACAAAATCTGCACTGTGCACTTTCGTGAATTGAAAATTTGTCGTAATATGTAGCGGTAATAGTGGAATTCAAGATCAAATTTCGCATTACTGCACGATTTAGTATCACGATAGGTCCGGTAAATAGATATCTGTGTCGCATACGCGGATGTGTACAAGCGCGGATGTGTGCGAAAAAAAGTCGTGCGTGAATGTGCGCATAATTGTATATATTGATGCGAACGATGAAAGCCGCTTTTAAATATGCCGCGTGACTTTACACTTTTACGCAAAACATGACAAAACGGCAAACATTAGAGATCGCCGAAGACCGTAACCCGAAATATTATTTTCCTTAGTGAGTTTCCACACTTTAGCACATTGCAATCAGAGATTTCAAATAAATAGAAATTCAACTTAGGGAAATTCGACTTTATATTACACGCGATACATAATACCTGGATGTGATGAAAGAGCTTTCCGCATGGAAAGAACAATGAATCACGTTTAATTCTATTTACCGACAATAAATCTACTATTTATTGACAATAAATATCTAATTATTCAAATAAAAATTAGCGCTGGCCGTCGCTATCTTATATACTTAATGAAATTTATCCATTTATCATGGATAATAAAATTACGTATTTTTAACGAAGAGAAAAAAATGCGAAATAAATCAAATAAAATAAATATATATATATATATTACACCGACCTTGTTTATAATGGGCTACATTTAGCTTCGCTTGCTAGATTTAATATTTTTGTAATGACGCCTAGACATATAGCTGTATTTGTACCTTCGTATAGAGTTAATATTTACTACTATTATTCTGTCGCATTTCTACGCGATGCGACGAAAATTAATTCAAATAACGCGCGCGGCGCAGCGTTTAATATTGAATAACAAATTATTTCTGTGCAAAGTGATAATATTATACGTCAAAGTTTCTTAAGATACAAACTAGATTCAATTGTCAAATAAAAAAATTTTCATTGTTTTCTTTTACTTTTTTCAATGTAACAAGAACACCAAGATAATTTTGTTAATCAATTGATTTCGACTATTATATTTGTTGATTAAAATAATACGAATAGCACAAATGGTCCTGCCGATACAACGACAGTGAACCTGTTTTAGAAAGAAAAGCAAGCACTCTCAATAAGTGCAATATATATTTATGTTATGCGTAAGTATGTACTTAAGTAATTTTGTTAGCGTCTGCGTTTACACCTCTCTAGAAGTAACGAATAATATACTGGATATAACGATCGCTGACGAAGATATTTCCGGCGGAACCAACAATTGCGTGTTTGTATAGAAACCTATACGTAAGTATGTACTTAAGTAATTTTGTTAGCGTCTGCGTTTTACACCTCTCTAGAAAGTAACGAATAATATACTGGATATAACGATCGCTGACGAAGATATTTCCGGCGGAACCAACAATTGCGTGTTTGTATAGAAACCTATATACACATGTATAAACGCCAAAAGAAAAAACAAATGAAGGAAAAATAAGTGTATGTATTAATCTTTTGCCTAAATCCCACATCAAATTTCTTCAATGTTACAAAAGCATAACTTAATAAATTTAATAAAATTAAATTTGAAAACAAAAATTACACAAATTTGTTGCATCAAAAATAGGAATTTTTAAAATAAAAATTAGCATTTATTAATTTATACCATATTAAACATTTCTTTAACCCTAGAATATAATCTTTTTTCGTATTTATGAAGAAAATATAAAAAATAGCAATTTTTTAGGACTGTATTATTTCTGGAATAATACTATTTAATAAATTTAAGTGCCTAAAAAATTTCATTGCTCCTTGCTTTATATTTTAAATTGTATATTTTCTAGTTTATTTTATAATCTTCTAAAATTTTTGTTAAAAATACTTTTTTGAAAACTATCAATGACAAGGATCGAAACTTCTGTTTAATTTATAGTGTTAAGCAGATATCGGTTTCATCATCAATAGCATAAATAGTAAAATGTTTTTATCATGGATCTTCATGTCCAACAATAGCCATCTATGTCGACCGGCATGTACTAGTTGTTATCACAGCGTATATGAATTTATTCGAAATGCAGACGTTACGTCGGAAAATATAAAGACACTTACCAAGCAGCGGCGCCGACATGTATGTCTCGCAATCCACCAGAAATTGTCCTGTCTGCACTGCTCCCAAGGCGACGACTCTCTTCGTGAGGAACTCGATCGTCTGCGGCCCGGTGCGATTCTCGATCATCGGAAACTGCTGCAACCTGCCAAACATAAAGAAATCACTTGTCACCAAAGAATTAAAAGAATATTTGTGCTAAAAGAATCCTTGCGTAATTTACAGTAATTGATAATTATGTGAGAAGTGAAGGGACGCATGTCGGCCGCAAAGAACATAACCTTTGTGCGCGACGAAACACGCGGACGCGCGTATTAGTATGATAAATTCAGTAATCGTTATATATTGATCGTACAGCGAAAAGCTTTACGAATTTGATATGAGCATGAGAATTTACTTACACGGTGACACCCATTCTACGAGCCGTATCACTTCGTCTCGTAAACACACACCAAAGAACGTCACGAAGCAAACTACCCGGTAAACACTTGTCGCACTTGTTGGTGTCGAGGCGAGCGCGCGCAATTTAAATAACGCCGGTGTGCCACTTGACCATTGATAAAGTAACGTAAAGATTCACAACGCTGATAGAAGATTTATATTGTATTTGTCATCCAAAGTATGACATTTATTGTTTAATAAAAAAATTCTATTTTTTAAAGATAAATTTATCATGTGAAAACACGTTTTTTCTTGAATATGTCAATATCTCGTTCATCAAATGCAGTGTGAATCTGCCATAAGTAAAGTTTCGTGATAAAAAAATTTACACTACTGGTGATACGTTTAGTATATGGTATTCAAAAATTAAATATAAACTTTATTTTTAAGAACAAACATGTGTTTAGCTAAAATTTTCGAACAATTAACTAATGACTTTGTTGTCATAAACGCTAATATCATTGACCGTTCTGAATTGACTATTATTTAATATAAGTTGTTTGCAAAAATACCAAAATTATACAATTTTTATCTTTGAAATTTTCATACGATCTATATTTAAGTTGGTGAATTTTTCTTATGCAAAAGCATTTAATGCATGTAGCTATGCAAGTTAGTCTGAACGAGCCTTTAGTACATCATTATTGCGCATGCGTATTGTGAATTTCGGCAACATTACCCGCCATCCCGCCGTCCCACTGACTCACTCTCGCTCTCCCCCCTCCTTACTCGTGGCTCCGTTCAGCTTGGTTACCGTACGGATTTCCAGTTCGTGTTTGTTGCCCGTGAAGAATGCCTTCTGTTAACCACAAACTAGAAAAACAGGCCTCTACGGAGACCGTGGACCCCTTACGCCAAGTGATCGTCGTAATCGAGCATAAAATTCGTAATCTCGAAAAGCGTAAGGTAAATGTAGCATTATAACCGATACAATCGTAATTACAGATAAAAGTCTATCTGTCAGTCGCGGTGGCTTCCTTACCGTGCGATCCGCCATGATCCGTATGCGCCATGTGCTCGCGCCTCAACTTTCTCTGAATTTCAATCGACGCATGCCGGGATCGTTTCGTCCACGTTGCGTCGATTAAGCGTCGATTCGTAATTCGCGATAACGCGTGTTTATGCAAAAAAGGATAACCCGAGCATTCGAACGTTCAAACTTGATGTCGCCAACCTCGTATCATGGCGGTTTATCATCTACGTGCACGAGACTTCTTTATGTACGATCGCATTTTTCGATGCCGTCGCGATAGGACTTGGTACGCCAGCATGTACCGGTAATAATGTCTGCTAATGATGACGTGTCGTAGAATTCTAATTTAAAATTCTGGAAACTGGAATCCGTAATTTGCATCCGGCATTTCTTTACAGTTTCGATTGTAACTCGATCGCGGAGAACGCTGCTGCGTCGACGCTGCCGAATCGTCGCATGATCTCACCGTGTTCACCAAATATTTTAAAAAATTACTTTCTTTTAGATTAGAAAAATTATAAATTGTATTTGAACATTTGCTCACTTATCTATATTTTGTGTATCGCATCTTGATAACTATTTGTTTATAACTATGTTTTATATATCGATTAAATGCAACAATAATTTTACGAATTCTGAAATAATGTTGCATACAAAATAGTATATTTACATATTTAGTTATTTTGAAAAGAGAGTTTAGTAGGTCTATAAATATATTTTTCCAATTATAGGGTAGACTTGAGTCGTACAGGGATTTGCAAAAAAATGGAAAAGAGCTGAATTCTGATCAGAAGACAGCAGTGGCTAAATATGACGAAGTTCTTCAGACGTTGGATAATACTCGAGATTTGTATAAGCAGATTGTCAGTATTGCCAATGATGCGGTTAAACAACAAAAGAAATTGGCGCGAAAGGAGGCTGTTGAACGAATGCAACAGGACATTGCAAAAGTATGTAACATTATTTGATCTATATATACTTTATTCATATTACTTACATGTACATATCATATATTACAATATTTTATACATGAAATACATAAGTTTAATCTTTAGAAGACTGCAATTATAATGTCTTGAATAAATATTACATTTTGAAGTAACGCATTAAACATATTGAGTTGCTGTTTTTCTAAATTTAATTTTAAAAACTTTCTAATTTTTAGAAGAATCTAATTTATTATTTTCTGGAGCAAAATTTTTCCAAAGAAACAAAAATTTCTTTTAATTAAGAAAATATCTAAATATGTGTACAAATATAATAAATGTGTCATTGATTGTAGGTAAAAGAGGCGCTACTCATACAACACATCTTGGTAAACATAGGAACTAGCTCAGTTAGAGATGACTTTTTGCATGGAAAAAACGGAGCTGTAAAGCTGTCGGAGGAAGAGTTGAAGTACCTGGAATGCTTATACAATGAGATATTGATGAAAAATCGTGAAGAGGGTGATCTGGTATTTGGTCAACAAACGCAGAAAGTGGCTGAGCATCTTGTAGCAATTATGGATGGAAAACAACGTGAAGTTGTTGGAACTACCTACAACAAATTAAAAGAGATTACTGTAAAAATCAATCAATCTGGCTATTTTGATCAAGTTCACGAATCTTCAGAATCAGCACCAGTAGAAGAGGTATGCATTGCACAGAATGTTAAATTATTATTTATTATTCAATATGCTCTTTCATATATTCTAATTGATTTACATTTATATAGCTTATTGAAGCTGTGGCCGAGACAAAGATTACTGACGTACAGACAGTGCAGGAACAAGTCAGCGAGGAATATAACAGCAACGATAGGCACATTCCACCTGAATCCATGATACCCATTCCAAATTTTCCAGTCCAAGTTGCTCCACTTCCCGTTGTTTCCGGTACCGCTCCGGTCTCGGGACCCATCCCGGTTGTTCCGCAGCCTATGCCGCCTCACCCAGCCGCACCAGTCGACACTCCTTATTACACAAATACTACCAACTTCGTTCCTCAGCCGCAACAGCAACAACCGCAGCAGGCTCAGCAATCCCAACAGCAGCCTCCGCCGGCACCTCGAATCAACGACGTCATAGGAACGCCGAATTTTTTCTTCTTACAGGAATCTGAGCTCGATTCGCCAGATGTCACCTCGCAAGCACCCATCGTGTCTCACATTCCTCCTACAGTTAACGCACCCATCCCCACTCAGACTTTTACGAATCAGAACTTTGCAAATGCTCCGGTAGGCGTTCAGCAGGTTATTTATCAACATCAACCTGATATTGCACACATTCCGGGATTCACCAATCCTAATCCACCACCACCGATTCCTATGCCGCCGTCGCATCAACCGGCGAATATGCAATTTAGCCCGCAGCATCCATCTAATTATCAGCCTCAACAACCACAACAGCAACAAAATGCGGCGCAGCAATTGCAGCAGGGACAGACGCCAAATTTTAAGGAACAAACGCTTCAACAGGAAACACAGACATCCACAGAGGTAAAATCTAATGTTGGCTTAAAATTAATCAACAAATTATTGATTAATATTGATATTGTCAACTGATATTGTTGTCGGCAATTTTTTTTTCAGGAAAAGCCCGAGAATATTCAAAATGGAACCGTTACCACAGATTCATCATTGGAACAGCAAAATGAATCTGTCGATTGGTGTCAGATGACTGAAACCAACGATTGGAATCAATCCGATCAACAGCAGCCGGTTCAAGATTCTCAACAGGGTCCACAACAACAGACATCTCCGCAGACTTGGGGTGATCAACAACGTGGTGGATACAGGACCAGGGGAGGCAGAAGAGGGACTGCTAATGGTTATAATGGCAGAAGCAGGACTAATTATCAGCAAAACGGTCGCGCAGGACAAGGTAAGAGAACAGTAAGACG